ATCTTACGATAAAATAATTACCACTCGATTTATTTTTTCTTTTGAACCTAATCTATTAAAGATTCACTCTCTGACTATCATTGAATTAGCCATTTATACTTGCTTTGGCCCGGGCTTTATTATCCAAAAGCATCATGCATAAGTAGATTGTGGAGACCAGGTAAAAAGTCAGACATTGTGCTTTGGAATCTAGCAAAAAGCAATGAAAAGGCCAACATGAAAATACTGTGACAGAGTACAAAATACTGTAAAATGGGAACTCTTTGAATAAAATGTTTTCTCCTGAAATGGCAGCTCTAGCACAAGTTCTACCGATAAGACTCGCCATTCATTATCCAGTCAATCATCACTCAACATATGGAGCATATAAGTCCGATTAACTCCCATTAATACGTTTGCAAAAGTACTTTTAAAAGTGCTTAACTTCTTAATTTTCGTGCCCCCGTTTTGAATAAACATGAAAATGCACAATCTGAACTTTAATGGTTGTAATTCAAGAATGCTTTGGAATATAGATGTAAGATTGGTCTTGTTTAAAGAAGACATGTTTGTAGAAGATTGTTGTGGAAGTTAAATAAATGAAGAAAGTGAAACAGGAAAAACTTAGTTTGAGTTAAATCATATTTTATAGAAAACAATAAAAAAAAAAAAAAAATTCAAAACAGGGTGGGCTCTAAAACTGCAAGAAAATCAAAGCCAAATCTCTGAACAAATTGTGTTTCCTATTTTAGGTTGATATCCCAAAAAAAGAGCTTTCAATAGGTCACAACCAGACTCCATTACTGCCCATATAAGGGCACCTCCATTTCCATATTTGTTTTTTAGTGATCTGAACCATTATTTCCCCAATTTTCATACAATTTATGAAGTAGGCATCCTATTCAGAAGTAGTAAGGGAAGTTTGGGATATGTTGTTTAGAATTCAACCTCAATAATCACATAAAAATAACACTCTTGCATTAGCTATAGCTCACTGCCACATCACAAATGGTGAATCTATCTTCTTTATTTAGTTTAGTAATGCTCATCGTTCATGTTAGTTAATGCATTTACTAATGTTAACTAATGAACCTTATTGTAAAGTGTTACCGTTTTATTTATATAGCTTTTCTTTATTTTTAAAACATTTTCAGACCTTTTTTTGCCCCAAAAAAAAAAATTAATTAATTAATGGACGCAAATTGATAGATTACGGCTCTTCTGTAATTTATTTTGAAAATCAATCACCAAATTCGAAAATGTACTCGGTTACTAACGTAAGTTCTCTCAAGAAGAGGGAATGAGTACTACGTAATATCTAGGGGAAAACCTCTTTTCCACCCGATATTGAAGCCAAAAATTATTCTTAATTTTGAATTAATGTAAAACGTGTTGCAGCAGCATGCAGACATAGACAAGGTGGTTTGCGTGCAATATTGGCTGTCCTGCGACAACTGCAGCAGCCTATCAAGAGAGGGCCTTGGTGACGTCAGATCCAATGGGGCCGCTTCGCACCCACTACGTCACCTCCCACCAAAGCTGCCGTGGCCTGGGCCTATAAATATAGCTTGTTGGCTGATATAATCTGTTTTTTCATTGCCGAAGCAAACTAGAGTGTGTTGCAGGCACAGCAAAGATATGCAGTACTCGTTCCCTCTTCTAGAGAGAACCGAGGTTACGTCAGTAACCGAGGTTCTCTTACGAGAGGTTCTCTCGTACTGCGTAATATCTTATGCTAGGGGAACACAGTGTAAAACACTTCAAGCCTTTAGACGTGTATGCCAGCACTATGGCACCAACTATCCATTTGGATAGGCTCTGTTTCAGGAAACGAAGAGCTGCTCAGTCTGTCTGAAAACAGATGAGCGAGACACATAAGCTCTTAATGCCCTGACTGGGCAAAGGAAGCTTGCATCCTTTTCCTCATTGTTAACAGGCAGGACAGACAAGGAAATAACCTGAGCCCTGACCAGTGTGTTGTGGGATTTAAGCATGTACCCATGTCTTGATTTGAGGATGACTTTCGAGTCATTTGGCTCAAATTCCATACATGTTGCGCTTACTGAGAACGCTTGTAAATCCCTGAAGCAAGAGCCATGAGAAACACTTGTCTTGAAGGAATGACAAATGGATTGGCTCGAACAGGGCACCTTTCATGGCTTCAAAAACCGTGGAAAGGTCCGACATGGGGACTGAGGGGGTCTGGGAGGATTCAGCCTCTTAGCTCCCTTAAGGAAGCGGATGACCAGATTGCTCTTCCCCAGTGACTGGCCAGTCACAGGTTTTGTATGGTTTTGTTTGCTATGGCCGCCATATAAACTTTGAGCATGGATGGGGTTCTGCCCTTATCCAGTAGCTCTTGAAGGAAGCAGAGCACTTCCATAACCCCACAGTCTAGGGGTGAAAAGCCTCAAACTTTGCACCAGCCAGAAAACACAGACCATTTGAGGAATAGAGTCATCTAGTTTACGGCGCTCTAGCCTGCGTGATCATGTTTAACACTCCCTCTGGGAGTACGCGGGTACCCGTTGATAGCCTGTGCAGGGACCACAGTTTTAGGCGAGGATGCCAAATCAAGCCCTTGGACTGAGAGAGGTGGTCTTTCCTCGTCGGTATTGGCCATGGTGTAGTGCTTGTCAGCTGCATCAGAACTGGGAACCAAGCCTGGTTTTCCAGAGCGGAACCACAAGTCGCACTGAGTGTCCGTTTTCCTTGATTCGTTCCAATACCTGAGGCAGGAGCAAGACGGAGGGAAAAGCATAGAATTGGCTGCGGGGCCAGACGTGGGCCAGTGCATTCCTGCTCTTGGAGAAAATCGTAGGAAAGTGAGCGTTTTCTTGGGACGCAAACAGGCCAACCTGTGCTCTGCCGAATGTCTCCCACAGCAGTAGGACCAGTAGGACCGGGTGCAGAGACCATTCTCCTGCTGGAACATTGTTTCTAGACCGTCTGTCTGGTCCGAAATTCAGTTCTGACCACTGGCCTAAGACCGGTCTGCCCTCGAGCAGCGCCCCCTTCGCTCTGAGCTTGAGATGAAGGCTCTATTGCACCTTTGCTCAATAGTTTCGCTATTTCGGCTAGAAGTAAATTAGCTATTTAGGTTTTACTGTAGTTTCGACCCACGCCGTGTAGCGGCGGGGATGTCGAATGAACTGCAGCGAATAGCCTCTTTTTATTGTGTTCAGCACGCTGGGGGCGTGTCTGCTGGCTGCGCTGAAACCACGCCCACTCGCGGGAAAGCTGCTGGGAGATCGTCGGTTCGGCCCGTTCACCAGTAACAACGGATTATCAGTGAATCCCAGTTGTCTCCGACGAAAGTTTATAAAATGATCCTGTGTAAAATGATCACAACAGGGGCGGGTGTTGGCGGTGATCCTCAGCTCTTCATCAAGGTTGGCTCTCCACAAAATTAATCCACCTCTTCTTGATGTGATCGTTTTTAGGAAATTTCAATAAAGACACCGATCTGTTTTGTGCACGATCGCATCCAGATATAGTAGCCTACGCATACTGTGTCGAAGGCATAGCTAGGTAGCAAACTGTAGGCTGGAATAACTAATAGTACTGACAGTAACTCGTGATTAAGCGGCAAACTGATGCAAATGTGCTCTATTGTTAGGGGAGGGGCCAGCCTCAGTGGCTTCAGTGCATCATCAAGTAGGGGCGTGTCCACGAGCTCAGGGGCTCCAGCGCTTCATCAAGCCCTGTTTTAGCCCCGCCCAAAAAATCCGGAAAATAGCAATTGTGAAAAATTGTTTAACAGTCTAACTCCACAATTCAGTACCTCACACAGTTCACAGTTTTAGTAATATGTTTTAGCAATACATTTCTAACAATGTTACATTTCTAACATTTATAATGCGTTTAGAATTTTTTTTATTTAGAATTGCCTTTACAGGGACTTATTGTGGGAGTATTTTTGTATTTTCAAAATATTGATTACTTGTATTTATATTTTTCAATAAAATGTATTTAAATAAATTTTTCACAATTATTTTGTATTTTATTTTGTTACATTACATGAGCCAGTATTTGTATTTTGTAACAAAATAGTTTTTGATGTATCTGTGTCCTGTGTGCTCCAAAACAATGACAAAAAAAATAAGGTTGACGTCAGAAACCAACTTCATACAAAATGCAATGTTCTTGTCTGACGTTGAATAATTTTGGTGGCTGCTGTTTGGCACTCTTGCTATTTACCCAACCGGAGAGGTCACTGAAGAACATATTCATATTTACAACGATGCCTTTACTCATTAACTCTCAATCTCTTCCTCTGTCAGTCTTTATAACAGATTAAAGAGACAGAGAGGGAGTGTGTGGGTGTGTGTTTATGTGAGAAAAAGTGCATAGGCATGTATTGGCTATGTACGTGTGCCTAGTAACAGCCTACGCTGTGAGGACCAAATGGTTCCCATGATGAAACAGCTCTTTTTTGAAAATGTAACAATGCAGAAAGCTGTCTGTGATGGGTAGGTTTAGGGTTTGGGGCTTGAAAATGTTATTACAGTTCAACTGCTTACACACCAAATCCAAGTTACTTGTCACACAATTTATGAATCCTGACACTCAAACACCACACACACCAAATCTGCAAAACCAAACACCAATTCTTGGCCATCGACTCAGTTTTCAAATTCATAAAACACCTTTTGCAAACCACAGCACACAATTTTTTTATGTAACACACAAAAATCTAACAATCTAACTTGATTTTGCAAGAGATGTGAGGCATTTTGTGTATGCAATTCTTCAATTTGTGTGTAAAGTTTTGAAAAAAAAAGAGGCAAGGTTTTGAAAATGTGTGTAAGAAGTTGAAAAAAAAACTGCAATACGTTATAAAAACCATTACACCAATGGAATGTCCTCATATTGACTGGAATACCAGTGTGTGTGTGTGTGTGTGAGAGAGAGAGAGAGAGGCTGGAATTCGGAGTAAAAAGGGCTGAAAGTAAACACGGACAAACAGACAATGTTATCTGGAATCCACTAACACAACAACAAAACATGGGAATACAACATACTTTGGAACTTTTTTTATTGAAACCGAACAATAAAAACAAAACAAAAAAACACATAACCACTCAGTTATAAGTGAATTCTGAGATCTAATGGTAAAATGTGATCATATAGTGAAGGGATATAAAGAGGAATCTGACAAAACAAAAATATATATATATCTTTGCAAACTGTTGCAGTGTCTAAAGTCCTTTCTCAATATTGAACATTTATTCTTCATCATTCAGTGCACCTATTACTGATCTCTTAAAGCAAAGCCCAGGATAGCCACGCTAGAGCGTCAGTAAGAAACACAAACCCAACATTGACAAAAAAGAAATGCAAACAACTAAACCATGCAAAATGTCTGTATGCTGTTAAAATGTCGTAATCCATGGTGAGAAACATCAGGATTTTAGTTATACATGCCAGCTGCACGCATGAAGCTAAGCTGATTGGAACACATAATAATGATGCATCCCAGAGGAAGTGATGTCACTTTTGGAATGGGTGACAGTTAACAACACAGTCAAGACACTCCGTATTAATGCACTTCAAAAGAGTAAATCTCAAGCACTGATTGTGTGCTGCTCCCCTTAAATATGAATTAATAAAATTAGTTAATGCTGCTAGGCCAGTAAATTACACATCTGGAGCCTATTCTGGGAACAGAATGTGTCCACAGCATCTGCCTATATGCATCATAAACTGTACATAATGCGTCATAGTCCTATTGAACACATCTGCAGAGAGGAAAAAGAGAAATTGAGAAAAATAATGATCTTGGATTGGCTTTTTGTCACACATGAAGGCATTAAATATCTTTGTATGATATTTACACTCAGTGGAATTAAAACAAACATGCAAGCTTTTGCTTGCATGTGCAGTTCTTTGCTAATTTTCGTTTATTAGGCCATTCACAAACTCACAGTTAGTGAGACCACATCCATTAACATCATGTTACATATGCATTAAAGATATTGTAACTTCCTGTAGCCTCCCACTGTTAGTGTATAAATGTTTTTGTTTTGTTTTTTCAGACTAAATAAGGGGCTTGTGGGTGTTTTTGTCAGAGGGTTGTTGGGGAGAGCATCTTTTTCAATTGGAAAGGGGATGGGGCACTCTCCTGCTCCCCTTAGTCCTGGGTGGATGGTGAGAGTGCTGCTCACATTGTTTAAAACATTAGAACAATAGTTCAGAACTTCCGCAATTTCTTCTTCTTCTCTTCCTGTCGCGCCTTCCTTTTCAGGGGCTGGGAAAGAAAGACGACAAGGCAGTTTAGTACAAATGGCAGCAACGGACACTTATTAAAGCTCTTTTTTTCATACATGTAACATACAAAGATAAACAAACAAATGAATTACAGTACATTAATATGTTATTAAACATTTCAGTTGCAGTTATCCGTTTCATTCATGAGTTTGATCCAGGGATACTTGATTGAAATTGTACCGAAACAAAAACATGTTTTTAAGGACATGAATACAAATGGTTATTTTTGGCCCTCTTATTTAGTTTTTTGTTTTTTTGGGCAACACCATGTTAGTACCACAAATAACATAGCATAAACAGCACTGTATTGCCACTCCATTTCAGAACATTTTCTAAGATGGCGAAGAGCGATGCTAACCATATAACCACTGCACCTCTGTTTGGCAGGTATAAGATTCCATTACGACATAATTTCCTTGTTCGGCATTAGCCTTGATATGCTTCAGTGGTGTTTTTCTCCAATATTTGCCATTTAGATGAACATTGGTAGAAAACTATTGGAGTAGCAACATAGTTGTGTTAAGCTGTTATATGCTTATATTTTAAGAGCAATTGTGTTACACTGATTAATCAGGATTATCTATGAAACAGTAAGACAGTTACAGAGATCAAGATGCTGTCTTGTTTTTGAGGCTTTCGTTTCTTTGCAGTCCTACAACATAGAAATCATTTACTGTCAGCATGCAATATTTCACCTCAGTCATTCATACAGAGAACATGTTCATAAAGCAGCAACGACATCTGTCACACAGTATTATCAGTGCAACATTGGATAAGCAAAAAGCAAAAAGGTCATGCAAATAATGACTAAATGTTCATTCCTTTAATTATATTTAAAAGAAAAGTTATATATATACTTACGAGTACTGGCCCATTCTTCTGACCACCAAGATGATAACAGCAATGACAACAATCACTCCGACCAATGCGCCGATTACGATCCCCACCAACTGTCCCGTGCCCATACCTGGAATAAGGAAGAACACCAGATATCATGTCAATGACTGCTCATCCTCACTCGCACAGATTCTCAATTCAATAATTACACTGTATGTCTGTAGTGCTGTATATCTCACCTTCCTCCACAATGTCTACATCCTCGCCAGACCCTATTTCCATGTTTTTAGCGTCTTCTGTATTTGCTTTCAACTCTGTGACCTCATTGGGGGCTTTAGTGGTGGCTCCCACCACTGCTGGTAGAGCTGTTGATTTTGCTTCATCTCCTGGGGATGTGGTTTTTATTGGGACTTCTGATTGTGTAGCTTGTGCTTCTGTGGAAACTGATGGCGGTTCATCTGTTGAGGCAGCTGCTTCTGTAGAAACATGCCCTGGTGTTAAAGTAGCCTCTTGAGGAGCTTCTGGTGCTTCTGGTGCTTCTGGTGCTTCTGTTTTGACAATGACAGCAGTCGTGTCTGATGAAATGACTGGCTCTGGAGTCACCTCAGCCAATGTTGGCACCACCAGAGTACCTGGAACATAAACAACAAAAAGGTTTTATAAAAATGTTATACTAGAAACCCTCCCTTAGATGTTACATTTCAACATGCATTAGAGAGTTGGATGAAAATGGAGAAATTCCAAAGACATTGGCTGTGTCCGAAATCTCCACTCAAACCACTACTCCCTAACCTCTATGTAGGGGGTAGGGAGTAGAGCACTATATAGCGAGCTCACCACCATATAGAAACACCACTTTTGGACGCTACTCGATCGTGTCTCGGTGCCGTTGATTACGTCATTGCTGTCGCACTATTTAAACGCGTGCCTGCTTACAAACAATTTATACATGTCTGACAAAATTGTAAAACTATAAGTGAAACGAGACAGACCATAACTTACATTTGTATGAAAAATTTGTATTGCTCCCCTTTTCGTCCGTACGCCATTTTTACGATCAGCATTATGTTGTGTAGGGCTTGGGTTAGTGACCATCGGTTGTACACTACTTTTCAAAATGCATTCTGGGATACATTGAGTGGACTATATAGGGTATAATAATCATCACTATACATTCGGACAGCAAAACAAAATGGCGAGCTCTCTACACAGCCACTGATTTTTTTCGTTCTCTAATGCTTGTATCAGATGGGTGAGCCAGAATGTTCCCATGGCCCGCCGTTAATAGTGAGAACATTCCGGCCTCTCCATCAGCCCAAACACAGACTTACACGTTCACTCAGACAGTCACATTACATACAAAAACATTCTGCCATTCCACCCTACAGAAAGTCACGCCCTTCAGCTCCACACTAATGAGATCACTTCCTTTGTACGTCATACCTTCAACCAGACTAATTGTCTCACTTCCTGGATTAAGTCGGCAATAACTGGACACAAGGAAATGAAGCACTGGAGAACAAACATGGCCAAAAAGTTTCCTCAGTGGTTGCTCTTAGATCTTTCTTCACTGCTCACAATGACAACCATTAGAGACAAACAGCAAAAACTGATTTCAGATCTGTGCTGGTGTCCAAGCCAGATGGATTGCATATGAGAGACTTTCTCTCACCGATCTGTTGGGCACCTCCCTTTATAATAACACCACCTCAGCTGCTGAAATATCAAACTCCGCATTGGTTAAAAGACTCAGCACACGTTATCAACTCTGGGTTAATGGCGAGTTAATGTTAGGGTTCTTTTGTAACAGAAAATGTTCATATGAGTTTCATGAAGCAGATTTATCTTTTACTGGTTATTATGTGACTCAGACACTTTCAGCAGTGTGGAATTTAAATGGTTTGTTTGTTCACCCAAATGAAAATGTGTCATCATTTACTTCTTTATTCTTTCTTCTGTAAAACCCTGAAGGGGAAATTCAGAAGAATATGGCCATTATTTTTAAAATGTTAAAATTATATGAGAGAAATCAATTTTCAATAGTCCATGACTTTAGAGTGCCGAAGTGATGATGTCACTTTGTAGGACAACTCGCAAGCTAGCGGTGCTTGGGTTCCCTCGATCGAAAAGGTATGCATTTTCCCCATAGACTTTTGGAAAATTGCAAAAAAATAAGATCTGTGTTTAACAAAGAGTTGTGACCCTTACACTTCTATCAAGATAATCTTTACAAGTTAATCCAAAATTTATACATTTTGAAGCCTATATAAAGTTTTAAAAAAAAACACAAGCAGACACAATAAAGTAATAACTGTGTGTTCTAATATTTAGAGGCTTTGATCACCTCAGACCTTATTTCAGGCGATTTAGCAAAAACCCACCCGTTCAAAAATCCCATAGACTTTAGAGCGAGGGAACCGGTAGTGCTAAAATGCCAACTCACTTCCGCGTTTTGGCCTACTTCGGCACTCGATTGTGAGGCCATATAATTATTTTGTTTGAGCTAAAAACTAAAAGTTATGGTAAAAATCTCTCTATAGCACTTCCCTGCACGTTCATGAGAGTTCCTAAGAGAAGTAGCGATGCTCATTTTGTGAACGAATCCTTTCAGTGTTGATCCAGTTCACAAATCCAGTTGGAATGATTCCTTGATCCGGTTTCGAAATTAATGAAAATTTGTATACATTTAAGGTACTTTTGAGTTCTTTTTAAAGTTGAAAAGCTTAATTTCCTTATTCACCGTAACAGCATTGAAGGAACAAGAAGCGTACAAAATATCTTCTTTTACGTTCCACAGAATAAAGAACAACATGAGGTTGTCAGTGACATGCAGATCTTTTTAATTTTAGGGTGAACTTGTTTTAATAACATGTTCCCACTCACTTTGTAATTTTAAACATAAATGTATAACCTAATTAACCTCCAAAATAAAGTGTCATAACAATTTAAGACCTCTTACGTGAGAGGAGAACATTATTTATATACGTGGGTGTAAAAAAAATAAAAAAATTCTGTTACAAATATCACTATTGCTTTTCATAGTGCTACAATCAAACAAAAGTATACTGTTATTAATGGGTCAGAGATCAGAATGTCCTGGGTGTATTTGTGCTTGAGTGCTTACATTAATGTCCTTGTTGACTGCTGCTAACAATCAGCTCATTATGTTTGAGACCCCAACAATTAGTTCTAAGTATGGCTCTCTTCCTTTCCAACCACCACACACACACACACACACACACACACACACTCACATAAATACACATGATTCGATGGGGGCAGCAGTGTATGGAGAAAGACACAGCTGTTCTCCCCCTCTCTTTCTCTGAGTTGTACACAGCAGTATGGGCAGAAACTGTAACTGTAAATTATGTAAGAAATAATGTAGGCTGCAGTCAACCGCTCATTATCAATAAATAAACCCTGACATGGTGATCAGGACTCATGATGCGCATTTGTAACTTTATAATCTTACCTGTATATTTTATCGTAAGCTTCTGCTAAGAAATAGTCCACTACAATGTACAAACATGGCATAGCAGCAAGACAAACACTGCAGTGATAATATAACTACTAAAGTTGTCTGAGGGCATTTTTACTAGGATGCAAGATAGTGAAAGTCACGTTTGTATTAAACAATCAAAAAGCAAGTCTGCTGTCTAATTTAAGAGACTTGAAAGTAGTCCTTCAATTTCCTGGATTAACAGACTGATCTTCATGTTATTTTTAATGAGCAGGCACATACTTCCAGTGTCAGCCGCTTTAAATTATTTTACATATTTGTTATACTGCTTGTGTAACATGATCTGTTCTGGTTGTGTTTTGGTTCTGTTTTCCCTGTTCCTGTTTGACTTAGGCCCTGTTCACACGAACACGGGTACTTTCGAAACCACAGCTTTTTCTATGCGGGTTAGCCGTTCGTCCACACGCAAACGCAGTCTCAGGTCACTGAAACCAAACCTTTTTGAAAACTCCTGGCAGGGTGAAGAGTTTCAGAAACTCCTATTGCAGTGTTGTCGCGTAATCGTTGAAACCGGAGATTTTGGCTTGTGACGTCGAATACGTGCTGTTACAGTATCTCCTTTGCTTGACGTCAGATTGTGCGCTGCTATCTCCTTTATTTACACAAGGCAAGTCTGTGCAATGACGGACGTAGCCAAAATGTTGTTAGCCTACCGAAACTGGTAATAACCTTTTTTCAAGCTTCTGATTGGCCAACATGGTTTTATGGTTAGGGTTATATCGCTTCATTGCGTGTTTTTGCGTTTTTATGTGGACAGATTTTTTTTAAACCGTGCTTGTGTGAATATACAACACTTGCTCATCCTTTAGCGTCATATAGAACATTATATGACAAAACGGCGCTATACTATGCACATGGCACCCGTTATCGTTAATATAACACGCGCTGTGATGGTTAGGTTTAGGTGTGGGGTAGGGTAGGGTAGTCTCATATTACGCTAAAGGATTTATGACGCCTTGGGTTCGGGTGAATATTAGAGGGATACTCCACTTTTTTAAATAGGCTCATTTTACCACTCCCCCAGAGTTAAACAGTTGAGTTTTACCGTTTTCGAACGTATTCTGCCGATTTTTTTTTTTTTTAAATTTAGAAGAATATCAGTAACCAGACAGTTTCTGGTCTTATTGACTTCCATGGTATATTTTTTTCCTACTATGGAAGTCAATGAGACCAGAAACTGTCTGGTTACTGATATTCTTCTAAAATATATATATATATATATATATATATATATATATATATATATATATATATATTTTAAACAGGAAATACTCTTATAAAAATACCCATGTATGTGTGGACTAGTGTGTGTTAGTGCGTTGATTAATGATTCAGTTCACCTGTCGTCCAATTAATTTAATTCCGTGTGTATTTTAAGCTGCAGTCAAGCTTTTTTCCTCTTTGTCGCCATCTCTGTTCGAAATCTGCAATCGCAGTCATTCGCGGAATTATCGACTTTACGTGAGTTGTAGTTCGACACCCTCGACACGACACAGCGTGGATGAACACATTGTTTGAGGAGAGTGTGCAGCTGTCAGTCACTGCGCCGGTGTGGATACTGGCATTCAGAATCACAGATTATTATTTTTGGAAGTATGGACTAACATATTAATTAATTTTCACCAGAAAATGTCATCTGAACTAGTAAGAAACATCCATTTTTGTTCTGGTTCTGACATTGCAGTAAATCGCACGGATTAAATCTAAGTTATCATACCATGCAAAACCATGTTAATTATACTTTGTTCTCAAATTGTTAATATTAACAACGTAAGTAAGCATTGTGTGACTACATGTAATGTCCTTCCGGTATGTATCCTTGTCTTCGCATGGGTCCGTTTGCAGGCTCTTTTTTCTGTAGTCACTCCGAAGTCTTTTGCATTTTAGAGCGGATGAATCTGTTGTCACTGGTCGTTTGAACCTTTCAAGATCCGCCATCAAATTGATGGTTGGATACAACTTTGCCATTGGTGATGATTCTCCAAACCGTATGTCATTTTTGTGGATGGTGGCAGGGATAAGGAAATATCCGATAGCTGAATGCCATAATTGACCAATCAGAATCGAGTAATTTCAGAGCACATGTAATAAAAGAAAGGGAGATTTAAGATTGTGAGAAACAGCAACGACCAACAGCGTTTCTGCTATATACAAACTGCAATGAGTCAAAACCCACTAAAATAGTGCAGGCATGTGTGTGTGTGTCAGTGAAAAATTACCCATTAAATGATCAAATTCAAATCTATGACCAAGCCTGAAACATTTCCCTGACAAAAAAACATACCATAAAAGGGAAAGACCAGAAAAAGGAGAGACAAATAGAAATAGAGGATAAAATCAGAGAGCAAGGGAAATAGAACACAAGAGGCCAGTATTGGGTGTCTGTTGAACAATTAATTACTCTTAATCTATATTAAAAAGAATATCCATCAACTGCTTCAGCGTGCGTGTCTGTGTGTGTGTGTGTGTGTGTGTGTGTGTGTTTCAGGCTGTGAGGGAGTATGATGCTGGAATGTTATTGGAAAGGAAGAACAAGTGAAGAACATCTCATGAAAGCAGATTCCCTCCCTCTCACAGATACACATACACACGCATGCCATGAGTGGGCAGCAGGGGACAGAGCAAGTGGAAAATATCCCTTATCACCAACAGTACACACACATGCTTAGGCTCTCACACTCATAATCTCCAGGGAACAACATACTGTATCGCAGACTATAACACACACACACACACACACACACACACACACACTAATCTAAAATACAACTGAAGTTCAGACCTCAGGGAGACAAACCTCAACATACTCAAGCTCCACCACAATTACCCACAAATCTAAATTTTAAATACTAAGAAGTAAACAATTCTAAATATAAATACATTTGTGAAGTTTACCGATAGTGATTGTGATTTCTGATGAGTTCAGTTCAGATTCAGGAGTGAGGCGTTCACTCTGATTGGCATTCAGAATCTGTTTTATGGAGTTAATTTGCATTCTCTGTCAGGCAGTGTGGAGCTAATTTGAGGTTTTAGCAGTTTTGTTATGTGCTTTAGTCATTTTTAATAGTTAATTTACATTTCTTACAGCTTTAATCTATTTTTTTCGTAATAAATCCACCACTTTTGAGAAGTGCCAACACTATCTCACGACCAATTCGTACGAATTCGACGCACGATTATAAAGTGTCTAATTCGTACGACCTCACTCGTACTAATTCGTGCGATTTGTCTAAACCCTCGTAATGGTTAGGTTTAGGGGCGGGGTAAGGGGTGGGTCATTCGTACGAATTCATACGAATTGGCCAATTCGTAAAATATGTACGATTTAGCAAAATCGAATTGTTACGAATTAGCCACTTTTTAATCATTCGTCGAATTCGTACAACTTGGTCGTGAGATCGAGTTGGAAGTGCATTCATATAATGAAGTTGAATGACAGTGTATGACTTTAATGTATTTTGAGTTGTATGGAGCTCAAGATGCATTCAAAACAAATTCATTGAAAATCTGACTGCACTCTGAAGTTAAATGTGAGTTTGATTGAGCTCTGTGAATATAGTGCTATATAGTTTGTGAATATAGTTTGTGGTTGCATTCAGAGGCCTTGAGAGAGTTTCAGGGTTCATGTAGCTAAATTAACACCCACACCCAGTACACCCAATACCTGTGCTCTCACATGTCAGTTTACCATTACTCTATTCATAACACATACACAACACATAGAGTGTGCCATCTGAAAAGTTAAAAAGTTCATAGAACAACACACATTTTAGATTCTTCCAAAAGAACTGTACATAATGCTGTATATTTAACAGTGCAGCCTATAGAGTAGAAACTTTTAGCTGTCTGATTACGCCCCGCTTTTAGAACAGGGAGTGGCACCACCAGACTGGGAGAATGGGAAAAATGGGAGACGAATGGCAACAGGAAAAAAGAATGAGAGAAAAAGAAGGAAGTCTGAAGAGGAAGATTGTGCACTGGTGACGCTCCTCTAATTTCAGGGAGTGAACTTTTCCCAAGTTTGAAACTTGCTGAGTATTTTAATGTGATGTTTAGAGGGCTGTTACCGACCCTGAGCAGAGTGAGTCAGTCGCTGCAGTTTAAAAATAACACGCGTGCCCCTCCAACCCACCTCTGAGAGGGGTGAAAGCTTGATACCCCGCCAAAGATGGTTACAAGAAGGGGGGTGAGCAGAGGGAGAGAAAGACATACAAAATAAGCACATATGGGGAGTCTCTCTCTCTCTCTTTTTTTCTCAGGCCTTCACTGCTCTTAGATGTAACCAGCCTGTGTACGAAATGCTCAAATGCCTCCCTTAAATATAGAGTCGGCTCTATTAATACACATGTGTAACCCTGTCCAGATTGAGAGAAACGAAGCAATAAATCAGTGCTGCTGACTAACTCAAAACTGGTACATAGTGGTGTAACAATCATTGCACCATTACATCATTTTCCCATCACAAGGTCCAAATGAGAGGAACGTAAGTCTGGATAATGTTTATCATGAACAGAAGGCACTGAAACACACACACACACACAGCAAACAAACATAATTTAGTTGAGATACTGTGTGTAATCAAACAAAATTGAATTGAATTAATGAAGGTTATGGTCCCTTGAAACAGATGAGGAGAATGGACAGAGTGTGTGAAAGAAAGAATAGCACTATATGTGTGTGTGTTTTGACTTACTTGCTTGGATAAAGGTACAGAAAGGCCCTGCCAGGGCGACCAGCAGCAGTAGTACGATCCTCATCTTGCTCACGATCCTCCAACTGAAGCTTTAACAAACTAAGAGGCTCCTGAAGGCACACAGCAGGCTCTGGATGAAATGCAGGTTCACACACACAGACGTGTGCCTTAAAGTTGGTTTGAATGGATAGGGGCGGTGAGGTCTGGAGCAGCAGTCTGGACTGAGAGCCAGAGTGAGAGAGAGGAAATGGGCTTTAGTGTGTCTTCAGAGGGTGAGGGGGTTGGGCATTGGCGTTAGGTGGTCCTGCCCCTCATGCCTTCAAGTAAATCTCTGTCCGTCAGTCTTGCTCTCTTTCTCTCTACTTGACTATCACTTTATCACTCTATCAAGTTGGTATTTTACTAATTTTCATTATAAACAATGAAAAGAACTTCAGAATAAAAATGAAATTATATTCCATTTTCTTTTTTATATTACTTTACCTGTTGCTTTTATTATTTTTAACTATTCCCCAAAATCAGTCTAATGGAACAGGGATGCCAGGTAATCTAATGAGAATGAAAATGGGTCTGTGAGAGGCAGTTCTAGCAATGGTTTACATGTTGTATCCACCTTATTATGCAAAACATGAGCTGTTCTGAATGACAAAGTGCAGTAAACTGTAAAATTTTTGCATTACAAACCAGTGTCCAAACCCATTCTTACATTAAAAATGTGTGCTTTTCTAAAAAAATAAAAAATAAATCCAATGGATAAAAATGATATGTGACTTCATAGCCTACAGTACACCCGATTGTGTGTAAGCTATGTCTGTCCAGACTGTCCCTAATGACCACGCTGTGTCAAGTAATTGCGTTAAATTAAATATGGCGTCTATCTTGACAATTAAATTATGGGAATTTGGTGAATTTAGGATATCATTATGGAGTGATGGCTTATTTTACGCCTGAAAATGAGAGTTGTCAACTGCCACGAGTTCTAAGCAAACTCCTCCAGCACGCCAGCTTATGATTCTGACTCTGAGGAATTGGCACAGAATTATTTTCAACCGTTAAAAGTTTGAAATATCCTGTGAGGGAGTCTACAGTCTACTGTTTGTTTGGTGGTGTGAATGCCCGTATTTTATGCTGACATCTAGTGGTTAGTTAGTGTAATTACAGGAGCACAATGTTCCTTCTGTCTGACAGCAGCCAAATCATCTCTCATATCAACAAGACCACACAGAAAATGTGCATTTCTAAGACTGAGGACAGTTATGCATTTTATTAACGGCACACAAAATTGGCGGAGGATCATTTATGTTATGTTGCATTTTCATGTCTATGTAGCCTACAATTTTGGATAAAAATGTAACTAAAAATGGAAATAATAGATGAGTTTCCTTAAATTGAACATGGGGTGAATTTCAAATAGTTTTTTTTTTTTTTGGTTGGTTGGTTGGTTGGTTGGTTGGTTGGGGGAAAATGTGTCAAACTAAAAAAGTTCCAAGCCTCAATATGACATTCCATCCTAATCTTTTAGGATTTTTTTTAGTCATTTCCATTAAACTAACAAAAGCATCTTCCTTAATAAAATGAAGTGACACCAGCTATCACAATAACCTGCAATTAAAAACAGCACAACAACACATTTTGTTAGTACCGGTAGGCCTACTTTAAAAATAGGTTTCTGTTTATTCTGACACCTTCAGATTCGCTAATTCTCACAAATCTGTTTTTCTAGCTAAAAGATCTTTTCCTGTAACCATAATGTTATATTGTGGAATTGAAACACCTAATGACAGTGCTAAAGTCCTAGAATGGTATTGTGATACCCTGCTAATAAAAACAGTAGCCTACAATACCACATTGTATTAGTTCCAGTGCTTTAAGAATGACAGCATTCTAATAAGAGCCATATTTTTGCGTCGATGAGGGACAGCAGGAGCCAAGATTTGCTTTAATCCACATATAAACATTCATCAACACACACATCAGCTGTGGTAAACGGAAGCTCAAGTTTCGTTTGACATGGGAGAACCAATGAGGTTTATTCTAGTATTACGCAGCATGTTTGAGCTTCGTAAGAACCAATGAGGTTAGCGCATCAAGCAAGTTGAGCTTCTGTTTATGTTTAATGATCAATGTTTATATGTGAATAAATGTCCAAATTCAATCTCTTCACCATATAAAGTGATTGTGTCTCTTTAGAAAATTTGAACTAAACCATTCAATTCTAATGGATTAGTTTAAAGATCTCTTTATTAAAGGTGCTCTAAGCGATGTCGGGTGACGTGACTTCTTGTTGACGTTTAAAGTATTTTCAAACAAAACGGAGGCTAGATAGACCCTCCCTCCTCCTCATCAGCACTGACCCCCCCAAACCCCACCCCCAGGGCCTTCTGGTCAGTTATTGGCTGGAACAGTTTGTTATGTTTCGTGGAGCGGGTTGCCTGCATAGGCCGCATTATTTTACAGTGTGTTTAGGGGACAGGTAGCTAGTGGATAGTGAGGAGATGTTTGCTGTATGTGACAAAAAATGTTTGGGCCTAAAAAACGTGTGACATGGCTTAGAGCACCTTTAACTTTTTGAAGCATCAAAGTGGTAGTTGCATGGCTGTCATGGAGAAACAGAAATCTTTCAGATTTCATTAAAAATACCTTCAAATGTGTTCTTAAGATGAGAGAAAGTCTTACCGTTTGGAACATAAGGTTGAGTAAATTATGACTGAGAATTTTCATTTTTGGGTGAACTAACCCTTTAAATTGACCTAATGTAGGCTCCCTGAAAAAATGTATGTACTGTTTATTTCTTTTTGTATTTTTCTTTTATTTTTCATAATGTTTGATCAAATTAAAAGATCAAATTAAATTAATTAACTATATTGTGATAGACAATTGAAGAGTTCAGATGCAAAAGCCTCTAAGTGCCATTTGAAATTTTCTTCTAAAATGATCATTTTTATCAAGCTTGTATATTTAAGTTCAGTAATTTCACTTAAATGGCAATGATAATTACCTATTAATTGTCATTTAAGTGAAATTACTGAACTTAAATATAGAAGCTTGATAAAAATCATCATTAAAGAAGAAAATTTCAAATGGCGTTTAGAGGCTTTTGCATCGGAACTCTTCAATTACAATTAAAATAAAAAACTAGCCTACGTCTTGTTTTATTGCTATTTTATTGGAGATGTTTTTATTAAGTATTATTTTATTTACCTCTAAATTACTAGATTTTTACCAATGATTTTAATATAAATTAGCACATTTCCTTACATTCTTTCACATAAATACTCAAATAAAATAACTACAGTGCATGCAAAGACCAGTTAAACTGCAGTGCATCAGAGACCAACATTATTGTCTCTGCTGACCTCTTGTGGGAAAACAAATATAAGATGCATTTAATGAGTTTTTCCACTAGATGGTTGTATATCTCTGGAGCAAATAAGCTAAAGGCCTAATTCTTTTTATATTTTAAAAAGATTAAAAAAAAAAAAAAAAAAAAAAGAAAAGAAACAAAGAAAAAAAATCCTTGAACATTGTCCCATATGCCCCAACCGCTAATTCCCCCGCCAATTTCTGTATTAGCGTTCACTTTCCTCCCATGTTCTGGATTAGTGATGTTCTATTATCTCAATATCATCATTTGAGCATGTTCTGGATTGTGTCAGATAATTGTTTTTTATTTTTTTGACAAATTTTGTAATATAAAAACTTTTTTTTTTTTTCAATTTCACATTCATTTCATTTGGGGGGTCAAATTGACCCGCAAGGGAAGGATTTGTTACTATTTTATTACAACCATAAAAACAGTTTGAACTCTATATGGTAAAGTCATTCCACATATTACACCGATTTTTCCCACATAATTAATTATGGGGATAAGAGATTGTATCTGTTTGTTATCCAAAAGTGTACAAGTACAAAACAATAGTCACAAAATGGCAGCAGCTGCATTTGTATGAATCAAGAGAGAATTATACTGAATGGTAATGATACGACTGAGTTTTAAAGGGCACCTATTATGCAAAATTAACTTCGTTTTGCCCTTCGTTTACACGCAAATAGATAAGTGTGGCTTAGACAAAGGTGAATTTAAACATGCTTTAAAAAGATTTTTGGGGTATATTGAGCTTAAACTTCAAGAGGAGGAGGTATCTTAAGTAAGAGAAATGTTAAATTAGTTTAGCCAAGAATGAGAGACAGAATTTTCACTTGAGAATATATTCTTACATACACACAAAAATATTTTCACATACAAATTCCCCGGGGAAGTGATCTTATATGCTATAATAGCAGTATTGCCTGTGCTCCCTCTACATGCAGTAGAGAGAGAGAGAGAGAGAGAGAGCAAGAAAGAAGGAAAGAAAGATAAAGGAGGACAGAGGTATGAATAAGAGCCGAACAGAATGCAGTTAGATCTATAATGTATAACAATATTTACTAGTAACAAACTTACACACTCATAAAGGTACACGCAGGATGGCAGATGCTCCTCCAAGCCTCTGTCAGGTGACGGGTCCTCAAAGACAGCGGACAGAAGCCGGTGAGTATATCTGTTTTCAAACGCAAATTCATTTCATGCCATAATGTGTTGCAGTGCACTTATCTGAGAAGTTTATAAAAATACATCAGTAATAATAAAACACTATGATAATCTTTATTGTTTTCATTCAAACATTTGTATACTGTTTTTGGTTCTGGTTTACTGTAATTCTGTCAATTTATTCAGTATATTTATTTAATCTAATGCTACTTTAATTTTACAAATTCAATTTCCTTCTATTTATTTATTGTTATTTACACTACTTTGCATTAATGCACCTTTTTACACATTATTAAAATTAGACGACATGAACATATAATGAATAGCTTATAGTCTTTGTTACATCTGATTTATATATGAATTAAACAAATAAATATCATTAAATATAAAGCGATTAATACGTTATATATAAAATTCATTGTTCATGATGTGTTAACATCTCCATTACATTATAAACTCATTTAAAGTTTTACCAGAATTCTAAAGTAATTCTGTTCAGTGCTGCTAATGTGCTGTAAATTTGTGTCAGATTTGGGGACAGACTGAGATGTTGATTGGACAGTGATTGTTACTTCAGAGTGTGACCTCGATCCTTCAAGGATAATGTCAAATTAGCCTGAGAAAAAGAAAGAAATAGAAACATAGAGAGAGAGGGCGAGAGGGCTGTTGTTTCAGTTGATTGCTTGTGTGTGTGGAAGTCTAC